CAGAAACACCGAAATCTCGATTTCGGTGTCTGAAACCGATATCGAGATTTCGACGTTTTTCATTGGGGTTTAGAAGAAAACCGAAATCTCGATTTCGGTTTTCTTAAGTCTTGGTTTCGGTGTTTTTCCCTGCTTGGGATATCTTGGGGTAGCCTCACGATAGCCAACAAGCCGGGGACAATTTCGCAGATCGCAGCCCCCCCCCAGGGATGGCGAGTTCCAATATGAGCCCTCATAGGACGTCACTCTGCTGGGCCCCCCTGCAGCTCTCGAAAGTTGGCCCTTCTAGGACTAATTTGGGCGCCAAGAAAGGTCAATAAGGGCCCCAGGAGGGCTCCAAGAAGGCCCCAAGAAGGCCTTAAGATTGGCCCAGAGAGACCCCAAGAAGGCCCCCAAAGCGCCCCCTTCCGAAAAATAACATGTCGTTCGGTTGTTTGGGGAACAGATCCCCAGCACAAATCGAACCCATCAATTCTCTGATTCTGCCGCCACTGCCTTCTCGCGGTTGGACGAGCCGATCTCGATGTCCTCATGTGGGGCTTCCGGCAAGACCTCCATGAAGTCCCCTGGTCCGTTGCGCCAGCGCCACCGCACTTCGGGGTGGTGTTCGCGCATGTGCTTGGCAGCAGCGGCCCGGGAGGAGAACCCGCGCGGCGGCAATGGGCAGGTGTCCACAGGGCAGGTGATGTGTGAACTTGGGAAGTGCGACGCCGCAGGAGCCGCGGGGCCAGTTTTCGCCCGAGCCTTGGCGCCAGGTTTCACCTTGGGAGTCGCTTGTGTATGTCTGTGGGGCAGCGATCGTGCCTCTCTAGCTAGCAGCCATTTCGGGGCGCACGGCCGCTCCTCAGACTCGGCGCCCAAACTCGCACTGCATACTCGCACTTCGCACTCGCACCCTGTGCTCGCCTCCGCAATTGCCCCCCGCACTGTGCGCCCGCACTCGCACTTCATACTCGCACCCCGCACTCGCGCCCGCACTCACCCCCCACGCTTTGCGCCCGCACGACACGAACGCGAGACGCTGGCCAACTCGGCGCAGTAAGTCGAATCAAGTCGGTAAATCAACTCGGGGATTGGTGTGGGGTGTGAGTGTGGGGTGCGAGTGTGTGCGTAGACTGTGGGCAAAGAGAGTGTGCGTGTGTGTGTGTGTGTGCGTGTGCGTGTGTGTGTGTGTGTGTGTGTGTGCGTGCGTGCGTGCGTGCGTGTGTGCGTGTGTGCGTGTGTGCGTGTGTGTGTGTGTGTGTGTGTGTGTGTGTGTGTGTGTGTGTGTGTGTGTGTGTGTGTGTGTGTGTGTGTGTGTGTGTGTGGTGTGTGTGTGTGTGTGTGGGGGGGGGCGGGTGCGGGCGTAGAGTGAGGGGTGTGAGTGTGGGGTTCGAATGTGGGCGTGCAGTGTGGGGTGCGAGAGTGTGCGTAGATTGTGGGCGTAGAGTGCGGGCGCGAGTGTGACAGGCGAATATAGAGCGCGAGTGTCGACGTGGAGTGTGGGCGCGAGTGTGTTCGGCGAGTGCGGGCGTCGAATGTGGTGCGTTTCTGGCTTCGAGCTAGCGTTGGCCCCTCAGACATACACAAGGTGTCGCCTTGGCCTTCGCCTTGGGCTTCCCCTTGGGCTTCGCCTCGGGCTTCGCCTTGGGCTTCGCCTCGCTCTCGGCCGCGGCCCGCGCCGCCTCCGCGTCGTCCACGGGGCTGCCGAAGAGGATCCTATCCGCAGAATCCTTTTCGGAGCTCATCGCAGCCACGGCCGTCTCCGCCGCGGCCGCGGCCGAGGGCCGTTCCAGCGCCGATCCATCTCCACTGGCGGGGGCGGCGTCATCTGCCACGCCTCCGGGTGGGAGCGGGGAGTCAGTTGTCTTCATGACATAATCTTCGCTCCCTCCTCCCTTCTCCCACTTCCAGGGGGGCACTATGCTTTTCGACAAGGTTGACACCCCACCAGAGGGGCAACGCGACATAGGCTAACCGATAGTAACTTCAAAGGGGGGCGCTGCAAAAAAAAAAAAAAACGGGGACCCCCCCAAAGGGGCATACCCATCCGATCACACATCGACCCACCTTGCCAAAGAAGGTTCAAAGAGGGGGCAAAGATGGCCCCAGAGGTTGGGCCCAAGCTTTCAAGTTGTCCTGCTGCATCGTCGTGGTCGTCGTGGTCGTGGTCGTCGTCGTGGTCGTCGTGGCCGTCGCGGCCGTTGTCGTCGTCGCCCGTCGTCGCACGTCATTGTCTGACGAGCGTTGCGACGACGAGGACCGAAACGACGACAACGTCGACGAGCGTCGCGACGACGACGTCGACGAGCGTCACGACGACGACGATCAAGTCGGCCCCAGAGGCCTCCTGCAGAGGCGCCCAGGTCGGCCCAAGAGGCCTCCAAAAGGCACGAACTACGACCGTGGAGGTTGCCGAAAATCATTTTTTCCAGCCAAAATGGGTGAACATATTCGTCTTGCGTCAGGCTCTGCGGGGCGAAGTCTCTTCACCCATTTCCTGCGCGAAAGCCATAGGATTCAGCGACTTTGGCGGGCCGCGCGGAAGCCGCTTTGGAGCACTGCGTTACGCCGACGGGCGTTGCGCCGACGAGCGTTACGACGACGATCAGAGGACTCCTATGAGACTACTGAGTCCGGACCTCCCCCTGGCCCCGATTAGACCAACGACATTTGGGAGCCCCAATGTCTCGCGAAAACATTAAATGAATAGGAAGGTAGGGTTCGTCAGGACCCGAATGGTAATGGCAACGGCATGGGAGCACTGCGAGTGTAAGAAGTACACAATATCTCATACATTGCTGTGTGGCAAAGATGCACATGTGCATGGAACGAACGTTCAACAGAACCCCCGCGTTGCTTTGCAGGGTCTTTGCGGGACCACTGAGAATCTGAGGCTTCGTCGTAAGACCTTTTCTGTTAAACTACGCTTGGCAAAAAGGGTGACCCCCACAGGGGTCCTCCCCCAGATGGTAAGACCCCCATGGATCCCCATGGAACCCTACTGGAGCCTAGAAGGTTCCCCCAGACGGGGCCCACATCGCCCGCTGGTAAAAACTATCCTTAGCGCACGGCATTTCCCTGGTCACCATCAGGGGGCGCCAGGGCGCGATGCTTTCTGCCCCTGCGCCCGCGTCGCCTGCGCCCTGCGCTTCCGCGCAGCCGTGCCGGGGGCGGTGGCCGAGAAGAGGGCTAGGGCCAGAGAGTAGGGCCAATTCAGACATGACCGGCCCTCCCCAAAGAATGAGGAGGAGGAAGAGACGGAGGAAGAGGAGGTAGAGGAAAGGAAACACGGAGAGAGGAAGGCAGGAGGGCAAAATGGCAGCTGGGGTGGGAGGGAGTAGCCAGGAGGAGGGGACGAGGAGGGAGGGGCGACGAGGTGAGAGAGATATGTGAGGGGGCGGGGATGAAGGGGGGAGGGCCGCGGACGTCCCAATTGGTCTCTGGTAGAAGTTGGAAGATCGAAGGAAGGGGGCCCGCGCCCCCCCCCGAGCGGTCGCCGCGCGCTTATAGGGGGGAGGGCCGCGGGCGTCCCGCCGCGAGATCGCCACTTGCGGCGGGGCGCGTAAGCCGCTGCGGAGGGAGGAGGCGAAAATGATGCCATGCTGCGCAATATGGCGCTTCACCCGTGCGAGAACAAGCAAAGCTGCTACACAATGTATTACATCATGCTACGCATTATGCTAAAACGCCACGTTGTGCGATACAACGCATTATAATGCTTTGCTATGCCGCGCGATGCAGCGCAAGGCGCATCAATATTACTACCCTGCCTTGCAGTAGGCCGAGTTCCTGAGAAGAAAAGTATGAGACCCCAAGTGCAAGCGGTGTTTGGGGAATTCTTGACGCTTCGCGTATCCCCACCAGCCCTTCCAGAAACGACGCCCAGGCGAGTAGACGTGATCAAGGAAGCGGGGCAGCATACAGAGGAACAAATTGCTGGGGAGGCCTTCGTACCCAGGGGGGGATGAAGGAAGAGTCGGAGGCGGAAGAGGAGGAGGAGGATGAGGGGGGGGGGGAGGAATGAAGAGGAGGAGGAATAGGCGGATGATGATGTCGATGCTGATATTGATGATGCTGATGATGACGATGATGGTGGTGGTCTTGATGATGGTGATGGTGATGGTGATGGTGGTGGTGATGATGATGATGATGGTGATGATGAGGGGGAGGAGGAGAAGGAGGAAGATAAGGGCGATCAGAAGAGTCAAAGGCCTTCTGAATGCCTCGCCGAGTCTCTTGGTATGGCTTTTGGGAGCCTCTTTGAGGTCTCTTGGGGCGTCTTGGGGGCTCTTGGCGGTCCCGGGGGCTTCTTGGACCGTCTTGGGTGCCTCGGGGGAGCCTCTTGGGGCCTCTTGGGGACCTCTTGGGGGCATTTTGGGGGTCTCTTGGAGGCTTCTCGGGGCCTCCTGGGCGCCTCTTGGGGCCATCTTGGAGGAGATCGATCAAAGAAGAGGGGTTCCCTAATTCGCGCCCCCCTTCGGGAACCTCCAGAATCGCCTCCTGGACCCCTCGTGGGGTGCTCTTGGAGCGCTCTTGGGCGCTCTTGGGGTCGTCTTGGGGCTCTCTTGGGCCCTCTTGGAGCCATCTTGAGGCCTCGGATGGCCATCGGAAGCGAAAAAGCGAGAAGACACAAATCATTGGTTTTCCCTAGGTGTTCAAAAGGGCCCCATGACGCCCCAGGACGCCTCCAAGAGGCCTGCCACGAGGTCTCCGGGCCGTCTCGATCCAGGCATGTTGTGCGATGTAACGCATTGGTATGCTATGCTATGCTATGCTATGCCGCGAGATGCACAGCACAAGGCGCATCAACATCACGTATCTTTCGCTGCAGTAGACAGCGCCACTACCACGATAGTGTATGACATCAACTTCCCCCATGCGCCACGACATATTCTGACGTCAGTTGCTCTCCAACATTGCTGCTGCAATGAACTAGCGTCACTTGCGCCTAGCTTAAACTGACCCCATGCGCCGCGTCAGATCAAGGGCATTGCGCTGCAATTGCATGGCTTTGCTTTTCCGTGCGCTGCAGTGCTTTACGTTCGTCATACGCGCAGGGGCGCGCCCTCTCGAGGGCCCCCCATCAGGACCAGGATGGGAGTCAGGTGACCTTGCGAAGTGTACACAGCCACCTTAAACCAGGAAACACCATTAGCAGAGAGTCCAACTGTACGCATTTTAATGCCTGCGTAAAGCGACTTCCTATGCAGGAGGGTGTCTCGAGGCTGGGAGTGCAAGCCGACCGCTCCCTTATAGTCTGCCTCGATTTCTGTTACTAGCGGCGCGTATGCTACAGCTACCAACGCTGCGACATGCTCAGCTGCTGGGCAGGGAGGAAAAGGAGCAGGAGCAAAACAGGTGGAGGAGGAGGTGGATGAGTAACGGGGGAGGTGCACGCTGATAGACGCGATGGGGGCGTGGAGGTTCTGGTGCCACCGAAGGGGCGCCGCTCACGGCCAATCCGCGAGCGCGAGCTCCCCACAGCTCTCGATCACCACCTTCTTCGAAGTCTCGCCGCCGTCGGACCCGACCGCCTCGATCTTTCTCACCACGGTCATAGTGCCCCCGATGACCTTGCCGAACACGACGTGCTTGCCGTCCAAATGGCGAGTCTTTGTGGTGGTGATGAAAAACTGGGAGCCGTTAGTGTTGGGGCCTGAACTGGCCATGGAGAGGCTTCCTTCACCCGAGTGGTCTAGTTGAAAATCTGGCTGGACAACAACGGGATGCGCCGCTTTGTCCACCAAGCTCGTCAGAGAACGTGTTGTTGGCAAAAACGGCCCAGAGAGCCCCCCAATACGGACTCCGAAAGCGCTCAGACGGCCCGAGAGCGCTCTCAGACGACCCGAGGCGTCCACAAAGTGCCTCAAGACACTGCCAAGAGGCCCCCCAAGAGGCCTTCAAGAGGCCCCCGAGAGTCCACGATGGTGTCCAGACGGCCCAAGAGGCTCCCAAGACGGCTCCGAAAGAATCCCCCGTAGGCCCGAGGCGACCAATCATCATCGTCACCATCATATGCATCGTCATCATCAACATCATATGCACCATCATCATAATCATCATCATCGTTGTCGTCGTCATCATCACCACCGTCGTCATTACCATCATGAGCGCCCACGCTGGCCTCAAAACGGCCGAAGGGGCCCCAAGGGACGCCTGCCCACGGATACCTAAATTGCAATCCAACACAAACCCAAGACGGCGAACATGAAACCAATGAGAGTCTCTGAATCATTGAGTACGCAATGCGTCACATGTGATGGCGGCCCCAGAGAGCCCCCCCTCTCCTCTCCTCCTCTCCTTCTCTCCTCCCTGTCCTCTTCCTCCTCCTTCTCCTTCTCCTCCCCCCCTTCCTCTCCTCATCCAATCATCGTCGACGCCATCATCACCGTCGTGGATACGGGCAGCTACCAACGATAATTCTGGCTGGCACAGCGGCGGGACTTGCCGCAGGCAGCTGGATTTTCATCAGCGAATCTCGGTCCGTAGATCGACTTTCCGCCAGTGCCGTCGTGGTTCGTGAAGTCTCCACCCTGGCACGCGTAACCCTGGACGACGCGGTGGAACGAAGAGCCCTTGTATCCGAAGTCTTTCTCGTGCGTGCATAACTGCCGGAAGTTCTCCGCAGTCTTGGGCACGACGTCGCCTCGGAGCATCATGATGATCCGTCCAGCGTCTTCGTCATCCATTTTCATGTCGAAGAAAACCCTGGGACACTTGACGTTTGGGCCTATGAGGTCGTCCCGCTTTCTCTTCTGCACCTCCAAGATGTGCGCGTCCAGTTCGTCCTCCGTGGTGTATTTCTCCCTGAGGGCTTGGCCTTTCTCGGAGCTTTCGTCGTTGTACGCATTGCGCCTCTCGTCTGCCCAAGCCTTCAGCACAGCTTCGTTCTTGGCGCCGACGAAGCGGTCAGTCGCCTCCTCGGTCCACTCACCCTTGTCGTCCTGGAAGCCCTCCGGAATATGGGCCATTGCTTCGAATTCCCAGCCTCCCGTCGCTTCGCACTCGTAGCACTACACACTGTCCAACCCTGATATGCACGGCACGGAACGTGTAGAAAGGATAGGGAATGAGAGGTATTGGTATGAGTGATGAGGGGTGAGTAGAAGATGGATCTTGAGCCAAAATGGTTACGAACCTTACTCGTGACTTTCAAGCTCATGGAGTCTAGTTGAGCAAAGAAATAATAACATGTCGGCCGGTAGACTCAACTCTCTCACACCGCTGCGCGCAGGCAGTTTCGAATAACATGTTAGCCAGCGTAGACCCCACTTTTTCCTTGCAGTTTTTGTGGCGCAATCTTTATTAATCATTCTATGTGGTGCAATCACTTTGGTGCAATCTATGCGATGCACAATTTGTGGCGCAATCTACGTGGTCGAAGTTTGTCGTGCAGCTTATGTGGTGCTATCTGTGTCAAGCAATCCAGGCTAAACAATACTGGTGGTGCAATCTATGTTTAGCAACCTATGCTCAATGACACGTGTGATGAACCTTATGTTGATGCAGTTCATGTGGTAACACCTATGTTCGCCAATCTATGTGGTGCAATATGACGGCGGCGACGCAGCGGCGACGGCGACAACGCGGCCGCCAGACTGGCGCGCAGGCCCAAACGACGGGCGACGACACGGCGGCGAGGGGGCGGCGACGGCGGCAACACAGCCGCCAAACAAGCGCGCAGGCCCAGCCGATGGGCGGCAATGAGGCGGCGACGCGGCGGCGACGGTGGCAACATAGCCGCCAGACCGCCGAAGAGGCCGAGCTCCTGAGAAGATAAGTATGAGACCCCAAGTGCAAGCACTGTTTGGGGAATGTCTTCCAAACCCCTCCCCCCGTTTCCGAGGGGTTCAACCCTCCCCCAGCCGCATCAGCTTGCGACGCATCAGAACGCAGAGATTACCCAAGATGGTTGCAGGATGGCCTCAGATAGCCCAGGACGGCCTCCAAGATGGCCCAATATTGCGCAATGCGTTTTCCAACGTTCCAGGGCGGCCCCGAGACGTCTCCAAGTGGCTGCGGAATTCCCCGAGGAAGCCCCGACATGTCAAACAGCTTCAAAGACTCGCTGGGCCCCGCGCGTCCCAAGCGGGTTTTTTTTGCCCCACGTTCCAACTGGGCTTCTGTTGTTTTCTGGGCAGTCCGCGCCGCGCAGGATGGAACGGGAACCCGCTCACCATCATCTCTACGCCAAAGCGGACACTTTTCCCCGCATCCTACATGGGGCTATTGCTTTCTCTAAGCACCCCGTGCAGGAAGGAACAGGATCCCATCTGTTTGCTCAGCGAGATTATCTCGCACTCCCCTAATTGGGGCACCTCGCCTGAGCATTGTTTCTGGACGTTCCCCGAATGCCCCCCCCAGGACGATTCCGAAAGCTCCTCCTCCTCTTCCTTCTCCTCCTCACGGTCCTCAGTGAGGCAACATGAAAGCATTATTCGTGCCCGATTGAAACGTATGTTCCCACATCACAGGTTTCATCATCATCACCATCTTCATTATCATCCGTGCTACTACTGGTGCAGCGGGGGTTGACCAATGCATGTGCCGCGCAAGAGTGACCAAGACGAGGGCGCGGAGTTGCAGTCGGAAGTTAGAACAACATAAACGCCACGATGGGTGCAGTGGAGGTGGCCCAACGCATGCGCCGCGCTAGGTTGACCAAGACAAGGGCGCCAAGTTGTAATCGGAAGTCTGAGCAAGACGAGCGCGGCGACCGGCGCAGTGGAGTTTGACCAATGAGTGCGCCGCGCAAGGCTGACCAAGGCAAGGGCGCCGAGTTGCAATCAGAAACATGAATGATCGAGACGAAAGCAGCGATCGTTGCAGCGGAGGTTGGCCAATGCATGCGCCTCACAAGGTTGACCGAGACAAGGGCGCCGAGTTGCAATCGGAAGTTTGAGCAGGACGAACGCAGCGATCGGCGCAGCGGAGGTTGACCGACGCATGCGCCGCACAAGGTTGCTCAAGGCAAGGGCGCCGAGTCGCAATCGGAAGTTGGGACAAGACGAACGCAACGGTCGGTGCAGCGGAGTCTGACCAATGCATGCGCCGCGCAAGATTGGCCAATGCCAGGGCGCCGAGTTGCAATCGGAAGTTGATCGAGACGAGCGCAGCGATCGGCGTTGTGGAGCTTGACCAACGCATGCGCCGCACAAGGTTGACCAAGGCAATGGATTCTGAGTTGCAATCGGAAGTTTGAGCAAGACGAACGCAGCGATCGGTGCAGCGGTGGTTGACCGACGAATGCGCCGCACAGGGTTGATCAAGACAAGGGCGCCGAGTCGCAATCGGCAGTTGGGACAAGACGAGCGCAGCGGTCGGTGCAGCGGAGTCTGACCAATGCATGCGCCGCGCAAGGTTGACCACAGTCAAGGGCGCCGAGTTGCAATCGGAAGTTTGGTCGAGACGAACGCAACGATTGGCGCAGTAGAGGTGGGCCACTGCATGTGCCGCGCAAGGTGGATCAAGACAGGGGCGCCGAGTTGTAAACGGAAGTCTGAGCAAGGCGGACGCACCGATCGTTGCGGTGAAGGTTGGCCAACGAATGCGCCTCTCAAGGGTGACCAAGACAAGGGCGCCGATCTGCAATCGGTAGTTTGAGCAAGACGAACGCAGCGATTTGCGCAGTGGAGGTTGGCCCACGCATGCGCCGCACAGGGTTGACCAACACAAAGGGCGCCAGGGCTGCAACTGGAAGTTGGGGCCAGGCGAACACATCGATCTGTTCAGTGGAGATTGGCCAGTGCATGCGCCGCGCAAGGCTGACCAAGTCAAGGGCGCGAGGTTGCAATCGGAAGTTTGAACAAGGCGAACGCAGCGAACGGTGCAGCGGAGGTTGACCAATGCATGCGCCGCGCTAGGTTGACCGAGACAGACGCGCCGAGTTGCAATCGGAAGTGTGTTCAAGACGAACGCAGCGATCAGTTCAGTGGAGGTTGACCAATGCATGCGCCGCGCAAGATTGGCCAATACCAGGGCGCCGAGTTGCAATCGGAATATGGAGCAGTACGAACGCAGCGGTCGGTGCAGTTGCGGTTGACCGACGCATGCGCCGCACAAGGTTGACCAAGGCAAAGGCGCCGAGTCGCAATCGGAAGTTCGAGCAATGCGAACGCAGCGATCGATGCAGTGGAAATTGGCCGACGCATGCGCCGCGCCAGGATGGCCAAGGCAAGGGCGCGAGGATTGCAATCGGAAGGAAGTTCAAGACGAACGCAGAGATCGGTGCAGCGGTTGTTGACCTCAGCGCACGCCGCGCAAAGCTGACCCAGACAAGGGCGCCGAACTGCAGTCGGAATCTTGAGCAAAACGAGCGCAGCGATCGGCGCAATGGAGTTTGACCAATGCATGCGCCGCACAAGGTTGACCAAGGCAAGGGTGCCAAGTTGCAATCGGAAGCCTGGGCAAGACGATCGTAGCGATCGGTGCAGTGGGGGTTGGCCAATGCATGCGCATGACTTATGCATGCGCCACGTCAGGTTGACCAAGACAAGGGCGCCGAGTTGCACTCGAAGTGTTGAGCGAGACGAACGCAGCGATGGGTGCAGCGGAGGTTGCCCACCGCGTGCGCCGCGCAAGTTTGACCAGGACAGGGGCGCCGAGCTGCAATCGGAAGCTGGAGCAAGGCGGAAGCAGCGACTGGCGCAGTGCATGGTGACCCTTGCATGTGCCGCGCAAGGTTGACCAAGACAGGGGCGCAGAGTTGCCATCGAAAGTTTGAGCGAGGCGAATGTAGCGATCGGCGCTGTGGATGTTGGCAAGTGCATGCGCCGCACATGATTGACCAAGGCAAGGGCGCCGAGATGCAATCGGAAGATGGATCAATACGAACGCAGCGGTCGGTGCAGTGGAGGTTGGCCACTGCGTGCGCCGCGCAACGGGGGCCAGGACAAGGGCGCCGAGTTGCAAATGGAAGTTTGAGCAAGACGAACGCAGCGATCGTCGCAGCGGAGGTTGACCAATGCATGCGCCGCACCAGGTTGATCAAGACAAGGGCGCCGAGTTGCACTCGGAATTTTGAGCACGACAAACGCAGCGATCCGTGCAGCGGAGGTTGACCACTGCATGCGCCGCACATGGTTGGCCAAGACAGGGGCGCCGAGTTGCATTCGGAGGTTTGCGCAAGACGAGCGCGGCGATCGGTGCAGGCGGAGGTTGACTACTGCATGCGCCGCGCTAGGTTTACCAATGCCATGGCACCGAGTTGCACTTGGAAGCTTGCGCAAGACGAACGCAGCGATAGGCGCAGTGGAGGTTGACCGTTGCATGCGCCGCGCAGGGTTGACGAAGGCATTGGCGCCGAAGTGCAGTCGGGAGTTGTAGCAAGACGGACGCAGGGATGGGTGCAGCAGAGGTTGACCAGTGCATGGGCCGCGCATGGTTGACGAAGACAAGGGCGCCGAGTTGCAATCGGAAGCTTGCGCAAGACGAACGGGGCGATTGGTGCAGTGGAGGTTGACCACTGCAAGCGCCGAGGTGCAATCGGAAGTTGGGGGGGGGGCGGGCGCAGCGATCGCTGCAGCGGAGGTTGATCTATGCATGCGCCGCACAGAGTTGACCATGACAAGGGCGCCGAGTTGAAATCGGCATGTGGGGCAAGACGAACGCAGCGATCGGCGCAGTGGAGGTTGATCAATGCATGCGCCGCGCCAGGCTGACCAAGACCCGGTCGCCGAGTAGAAATTGCAAGTTCGATCAAGACGAACGCAGCGATCGGTGCAGTGGGGGTTGACCAACGGATGCGTCTCACAATGATGACCAAGGCGCAGGGCGCCGAGTCGCAGTCGGAAGTTTGCATGCGCCTGCATTGCTATCTCACACTCGGCTGAATCATGGAGATCCGAGAAAGTAACGAGCGGCTGCCTCATCGGCGTCAGAAGGTTGGTCGGACCTGGGGTCTGTGTTCCTCAGGCTTATGCATGCTGATTTCGTGGAGGTTCCCGACGTCGCCTGAAACCTCGGACTTCTGGTTCCTTAGGCTTCTGCATGCTGATTTCGTGGAGGTTTCCGACGTCGTCGGGGACCTTGGACTTCTGGTTCCTCAGGCTTCTGCATGCGGATTTCGTGGAGTCGTCGAGAACCTCGGGCTCTTGGTTCCTCAGGCTTATGCATGCTGATTTCGTGG